CAACAACTTAAACAACAACAACAACAACAACTTAAACAACAACAACAACAACAACTTAAACAACAACAACAACTTAAACAACAACAACAACAACTTAAACAACAACAACAACAACAACAACAACAACAACTTAAACAACAACAACAACAACAACAACAACAACAACAACAACAACAACAACAACAACAACAACAACAACAACAACAACAACAACAACAACAACAACAACAACAACAACAACAACAACAACAACAACAACAACAACAACAGACGCCACCACCAAAGCTGCTTGGCATTGACGTGTCGGAGGAGATGGTGGCCATTGCCAAGGCGCGTCTGGAGCTGGTCGGACACGATGCACAGCAGGGCACACTGTTGTCACTGCCCACAATTGACGACGGCACGTGTGCGGGCATGATCTGCTACTTTGTGTTGCACCACCTGGACGAAACACAGGTCAAGGCGGCGTTTTGTGAATGGGCGCGCGTGCTGGCACCAGGCGCACCGCTGCTGCTCGGCTACTGGGTTGGCGATGGCAAGCCTTACTTTGAGGAGGGCTTGCAAGTGGACATTGTCAACCACAGGAGCGATGTCATCGACCAGCTCTTGCTTGACGCCGGCTTCGCCATCGATCCACACAACGTGAAGCGACAAGAGTACAAGAGCATTGGCCTCGCTGCTCTCCACCTCATCGCAGTCCGCAACGGTTGCCAGTCATGATGCCTTGATGCGCGCGCGTGTGTGTATGTGTATGTGTGTGGGTGCGTACAGTACGCAATCGCTTGCCCTTACGTACCGCGAGGTTGCTCCCCATGCCGTTTGTGATGGTGTATGACGTGTGTGTGTGTGTGATTGTGCGTCGTTACTCTGCCTTGAAACCTTTCTGTTACATTACGTTCCCCAATGTTACCGAGCATGTCATGGTTGAGCGTTTAATGCACTGTGTTGTTGGTGTTGTTGAAGCGGTTAAACGAGTGCCAAAGCACATGAACGTGAAAGCAACAAACAAGAGCAGTGGCAAGGGTAACGAGCGCAGCGGCAAGGGTAACGAGGGCATCAAGGGAAGCAAGATGAGCAAGCACGTGTTCTTCATACACAACACACAGACACACACACACACACACAACACACAGACACACACGCACACAACACGCACACACACACACACACACACGCACACACAACACACAACACACAACCCAACACACACACGCTCACACACACACACACAACACACACACACACACACACACACACACACACACTCATGCAATTCTACACAACCCAAATCAGCCACAGATGGGATCAATGATGAGCGCAGAGGCGGAATAAAACGGCGTACCATAAATCTTGCCGTTGCCTGCAAGCACACCGCCACGCCACTTGCCGCCTTCGTCGGGCAAGCCCGAGATGCTGGTGGTGTCGGCCGTGTCGGTGTCAGGGTCAATGATGAGCACGGATGTGGAGCTGTACGGGATGCCATAGATTTTGCCGTTGCCTGCAAGCACGCCGCCCAACCACGCACCGCCACCGCTGGGCAAGTCGGAGATGCTCGTCACGTCGTACGTGTCCGTGTCGGGGTCGATGATCAGCACCTTGCTGATCTGCACAGGGATGCCGTATATCTTGCCATTGCCTGCAAGCACCCCGCCCGCCCACTTGCCGGTGGTTTCAAACCCGCCCATCGTCGTCGTGTCCGTGGTGTTGGTCTCCGGGTCGATGATCAGCACTCCTGCGGCAAGGCTCGGGATGCCGTAAATCTTGCCGTTGCCTGCAAGCACGCCGCCCAGCCACTTGAACGTGCCCGTGAGCCCCGCAAGTGCCGTCGTGTCTGTCGCGTTTGTTGCCGGGTCAATCACAAGCACGCTCTCGGACCAGCTGGGGATGGCGTAGATCTTGTTGTTGCGCGCCACCACACCTTCGCGCCACTTGTCCTGTGTCGTCGCGAGGCCCGTGATGGTGGTCATGTCCACGGCGTTGGTGGCCGGGTCCACGATAGCCACCGCTGTTGCGTCGCCGGGGATGGTGTAGATCTTGTTGGTGGTGGACGGCGCAAGCACCGCTCCGCGCGTGAGCGCCACGGCCTCTGGCCAGCCGCTGAGCGTCGTCACATCGACCGTGCTTGTGTCGGGGTCCAGGATGAGCATGGAACCGACACCCTGTCCAACTGGGGGCGCGTAGATCTTGCCGTTGGGCGCAAGCACGCCGCCCTGCCACTTGAACGTGGGCTCCGTGTACTCCGACACGTCAATCTGCACGCTCGTCGTGTCCACCGTGTGCAGGTTCGGCTCCAGTGCACACACCCCAGCCAAGAGGCGCGCTGCCATCACGGCTTCCTGCCGTTCAAGGCGCTGCAGGCGCTCCACAACGTCCTGTCCATTGAACAGCACGCGCTGCTGCGCCCCGCCGTCCGTTGTGTTCACGTGCACTGCGCCCTCTGCATCCTCAAGCATGAACGACCCTTCACACACCCGCACGCATGCCGCAGACACTGCCACAACCACTGCCACAACAACAACAACAGTCAAACAAGAACGACAACAGCAGGAAGAAGGAGCGCGCATCATCTTCATCGTCGCCATATCAATGTCTGTCGTGTGTCGCGCATGGAGAAAAAAAAGTGCGGCAAGTCAGGTCGTAAACATGACAAAGTGCATTGGCTGTCCTCCTTGGAAACTTTGTGCAAAATTTGAAACAATTGGCGTTGGGATATGCATGCATGCAGCGACGCCGTGACGAAGTCGTCGTGCGCCCCCACAACGCGCACCAAACCACGGCAACACACCACGGCGCAGCCAAAACACCAACGCTGCTGCCGGGCAGCGGCTCACTGCGTGCCATCGTCGCCGTGGGCGTGTGTTGAGTTTTGTTTGCTCTCTGAGTTGTTTGTGGTTTGTGGTTTGTGTTGTGGTGCGCGCAGTTTTTGTTTTTGGCCCAATCCCATGCTGAGGTCACAAGGTCGTCGTGTCAACAGCAACAGCAACAACAACAACAGCATGATGCTGGTTGCTGGAGCGACGTTGCTGCGGCTGCTGCTGCTGCTGAGCCTGCAGCTGTTGGTGGTTGCCATCGTCGGTTATGGCGGCCATGGTGTCAGCGCTGCAGCGATGCCAGCGACGGCAGCGACAGCAGGACCTGCTGCAGCAACACCGAAGCAGCATCAGCAGCATCAGCAGCATCAGCAGCATCAGCAGCGGCACACGGCAAAGGAGCTGCTGGCGCAGGACGCACGCCTGTTTGACGCGTACGCGCAGCTGCCGCCGCTCGCCAGGAGGCGGGTGCGGCAGCAACTGGACGACCTGAGCGTGGACACTTCCGTCGCAGACGACTTGGAGTTCAGCGGCGATGGCGCAGTGTTCATTGCAGACCACTCCCTCGTCGTTTCCCCCGAGCAGGAAATGACAATGATGGCCCAGCAGCAGCAACAACAGCAGCAGACGGGAAGTGGAGGACACGCAGACGCGTGGCCGGACCAGAGGAAGCAACAGAAGCAAGCAGGGCACGCGGGACAAGCGGCAGACAAGGACAGAAGTCCTTGGTCTGGTGTTGGCGCCGCCATCACCCCTGATCTGCCACAAGACACAGGCAGCCATGGTCGGGGGCGCCGCGGCAGCGCTCAGACAGCAAACGGTGTGTGTGTGTGTGTACGTGTATGTGCGTGTTTGTGTTTGTGTGCGTGTGCGTGTTTATATTTGTGTTCGCGTGTGTGTGTGCGTGTTTATGTTTGTGCGCGTGTGTGTGTGTGTGCGCGCGCGTGTGTGCGTGCGTGTTTATGTTTTTGTGCGTGTGTGTACGCGCGTTCTCTTCAACGTCGTGCCTCCATCTGCTATCGTCTCGTGACCAGCAACATCGTGCACTGACCCATGATCCATCCCCCATCCCCCACGCCTCATCCCCATCCCCCCCATGCCATGCACAGGGTTGCCTGAGCTGCACAGCAAGCCTGGCTCACGCAACATCCTCTTCCTCGACTTTGACGGCTACGAGTCCGGTGAGGACCAGTTCTTTGGTGCCTTTGACGCGCTCCCATATGACCCCAGCAAGGACGGCCCAGCCTTCTCCCAGTTTGAGGTGGACCAAGCCATTGACACGTGGGCGCGCGTGGCTGAGGACTTTGCCCCCTTTGACCTGGACGTGATCCTGGGTGCGCCGCCACCAACCTTGAACAGCACCACCCTCTGGGTCGTCATCACCAGCAAGCAGCAAGCAAACGGCGCCAGCATGCCTTACTCCACCGCAGGCGGTGCGTGCGCTTTGTGTGTGTGTGTGTGTGTGTGTGTGTGTGTGTGTGTGTGTGTGCTGTGCATACCTTTGTTGGCAGCGCCAGGAAAGCACAGCTGTTGTGAATTCTTGTTGCTGTGCGTGCACGCGTTTTGTCTTGTTCCTTGCCCTCTTCTCTTCATGCACACACTCACTCGCTCACCCATACATACATACATATACACATACAAACAAACACATATGCACAGGCGTCGCGTCCTTGGGCCGGTTTGGGCACGACAACTTTCCATACTTCCAGCCAGCCCTCGGTGAGTCCCGTCGCACCATACTTGGCGTTGTCACGTGAGTGGGCGCGAGTGCTTGTGTCATCGTTTGTTTGTGACAAAGGGCGTTTCGAGAGCAAAAGGAAACGAACCACATCCACCTTCATGTTCAACCCTCAAGCTCTTCTGCTCAAGCCATTTATTTCACCATCAACCCACCCATACGCGCGTTCCTCACACGCGCGCTTCTCTTCTCGTTTCCACCTCACACGTGCGCGTATAAAATATCCCATCGTGCAGTGTACTTCGACAACCTTGGGCTTGGCTGGTCCCATCTTGTTGCAGAGGCGTGCAGCCACGAGGCGGGGCACACCTTTGGCCTCAAACACGACGCGGTGCCGGGGGAGTCATTCTACGGCGGTGCCCGCGACCCGCACAACCCGGTGTCGTGGGCGCCGATCATGGGGTGCGTGCAGCTGCGATTCGAGAATGGAGGAGGAGAAGGGGGAGAAGGGGGCGGGGAAGGGAATAAGGGAATGGCAGAGTCGTGTGCAAGGTCGAAAAGATGGTGTGCGGAGGATGGCAGAGGTCACCCTGAACCGCAGCTCTGAGACTCACGTACACAAACACACACACACACACACACATGAACACACACTCATGCACACATACACACACATACACACGCGTACACACACACACACACACATACACACACACACACAAACACACGTAAACAAACACACACACACACACAAACACACACACATACACACGTACTCATATGCACGCACACACATCAGGGCTGGGTATCTGAACAGCGTGTCACAGTGGAGCAAAGGCGAGTATGAGGGCGCGACAAACCAAGAGGACGACATTGCCATTATCGCAGCCCGTGTTGGCATGAGGGAGGATGAGGCAGGTGTCACGCGCGATACAGCTGGCAGAATCATCATGCATCACATTACTGCACCCACCAGTGGTTACAGCGACGACACCAACGCTGACGAAGACAACAACGGCAATCACGCACCAGCATCGCCAACAGCAGCAGACGATGGTGCACAGGCATTTGTTCCGGGAGGAAAGCACAGCGGCAGTGACGAGGACGTCGTGTCACTCATCTCATCCCTGCCCATCGTCGCTCTGGCATCAAACAACGCCGCCACAGCTGACAGCAGCACCAACAGCGACAACATCGATAGCAGTGCAAGTGACGGTTCTTTCGCCACGAGTTCCCAGCAACAACAACAACAACAACAGCAGCAGCAGCAGCAACAGCAACAACAACAGTTGCACGAGTGGCGTGGGTCCGCTGCTGGCGTGATTGCAACTCGGCAGGACGTCGACATCTGGGGGTTTGTTGTGGAGGCGGAAAAGGCAGACGTGACGGTGCTAGCAACACCCTGGTACTCGAGCGGCCTCACTGCCGGTAACAACCTCGACATTGCGCTGACGCTTCTGAATGATGTTGGAACGCCGCTGGCGGCAGTCAACCCCGTGTATCAGACATGGGCGCAAGTCGCGCTGACACTCGTGCGTGGCGAGTACTTTGTTGCCGTGGATGGCGTGGGTGATGCTGCGTTCTTTCCAACGGATTACGGCAGCGTTGGCCAATACCAGCTCCACGTCTCTCTCATTGGTGAAGCCGTGACAACCACAACCACAACCACAGCCACAACCACAACCACAACCACAACCACAACCACAACCACAACCACACCACCACAACCACAACCACAACCACAACCACAACCACAACCACAACCACAACCACAACCACAACCACAACCACAACCACAACCAAAACCACAACCACAACCACAACCACAACCACAACCACAACTACGGCACCAATGACGACAACTTCGCAACACTCGTTTCCAAAGGTGAGCGCCAAGAAGTCCTGCTCCTCGCACATGCGCTTCTTCTATTCACGCATGCACACACACAGTTGCACATGGACTTGTTCTCTCCCTCCCTCTTCTTCTGCCTCCTGACGTCCACGCATGATCTCGCGCATGTGTTCCTCACCGCTCTTGACAACGCCGTTGCAGAGCCACATGTGTGCCGTTCGCTCGTGCACATACAGTCCGAAATTCGCATGCCAGTGTGACGACGCATGTCAGGACTTTGGAGACTGTTGTCCAGGTGTGTGTCTGTGTGAGAGAGAGTGAGTGTGTGTGTGTGCGCGTGCATGAAAATGTGCGCGTGCAGGAATGAGAATGCAGCTCACGTGTTGTATGCTATGTTTGTGGTTGCAGATTTTGTGGCAAAGTGCACTGCAGTTGGCCACCACACGACAACCACCACGACAACCACCACGCCAACCACAGCCACCACGACCACGACAACCACAACCACCACTTCAACCACAACCACCACTTCAACCACAACCACCACTTCAACCACAACCACCACTTCAACCACCACGTCAACCACCACAACCACATCAATCACAACGACCACAACTACAACGACCACCACTACGACCACCACAGCCACGACCACCACGGCCACAACATCAACTACAACTACAGCAACCACGGCGCCAACCACACAACAAGGACCGCCACCAACACAGGTCAGGCAGCACTCCATTGCCTGCGCTTCCATCATCGTGTCATCATTCACAACAGTTGCATCGTCTCTCACTGCCACGAATACCACCAATGACTAACACCACCACGCTTGCCACTTGTATCGTTGGCAGAAACACTGGTGCTCGCATCGCGCGTGTACGTACATTCCGAAATACGTGTGCCAGTGTGACACCGCGTGCACGGACTTTGGGGACTGCTGTCCAGGTGCGTACTTCGTGTGTGTGTGTGTGTGTGTGTGTGTGTGTGTGTGTGTGTGTGTGTGTGTGTGTGTGTGTGTGTGTGTGTGTGTGTGTGTGTGTGTGTGTGTGTGTGTGTGTGTGTGCATTTGCATTCGTTTGTGTGCGCTTGTGCATGTTTGTTGTTTTGTGTGCGCTTGTGCGTATGCGTACAGCCGTTGTCACATGCTTGATTTTTTTTGCTCATGTCGCTGACATACACGCATGTGCCACGTTTGTGAATTGAACCTCAGATTACGAGCAAGCGTGCACGAAGGACGGTGAGGCTGAGAGCAAGCTCAGTACAACGACAACCACGACCACAACAACGTCCACGACAACGACAACATCGTCCACAACATTGACTACCACCACCACCACCACCACAACCACCACAACGACAACAACGTCCACAACATTGACTACCACCACCACTTCCACCACTACCACCACTACCACCACAACCACAACGACGTCCACAACAGCAACAACAACAGCTGAAACGTGCGATTGCCCCGGCCACTCGCTGCTGTCCTTCGGCTCCCTCTCCTTACAAATGACATTTGCAACAACCTGTCCTTCCGGACACATCTTCCGCGTGTGTCTGGAACGCAAGTTCGACTCTGCCAACCCCATGTTCTTTACGCTGGAGAGAAAAATGCCCAATGGCGGTGGATATGAGACGGTGTCCACGTCCCCGCTCGTGGCACCAGAACGCAACGCGCGCGTGTGCCACACGTACACGGAAACAGATGTTTCACGTGTTTCAAAGGGCGCAAAGTGGCAGGTGGCGGTGACATCCACAGACCTCTTCAGCGTCAACCTCGACCCGCCCTATATCAAATCGCACGACTGTGTTCCTCCATGACAGCGCACATGTGGATTGTGGATTGGCGTGTTGTGCTGTTATGCATATGCATGCGCGTGTGTTTCATGCTTGCGCGTGGTGTGCGCGCGTGTGAACTGTGTCTCGCACACAGGTGCGTTTGAGGCAACCACACCCCTTGTTATTGTTCTTGTTATTGTTGTCGAGTTGATGTGGCGAATGAATGTTGTATGCGCTGGTGTGTGTATATGTTCTTGGCACCTTGCGTTTTCGTCGCTGCTTTGTCAGTCGACGCGACACACGTGTGTGTGTGTTACCAGCGGTGCATTTCCGCCTTTTCCATTGCCACTCTGCTCGTTGGTAGGTGTCCAAAGGACAACGGAATCAGAAGCTAGTTTGTCTTGTGTCTGTCACCCTGTTGCATTCAACCCTCACCCATCTTTCTTGCGAGGCGTGGTTCGTGTAGTGTCGCCAGCTTCATATGTGGGCATCCCCTACATTGGGTACCCGAATTACCCTTTTGCACGGTTTTAGTGCAGTTGGTAAGACACCACATAACAGTTCGCCTCTCCTGCTGTCACCCCGGCTTCTATTGCGTGACAGAGTGACAGCACTGTTCATCATTGTTCATCATTTTTGCTATGCTGACTGTATCATCATGACGGTGGTTGTCTTTTCATTCAACTAAACGTAACAAAATCAGTGTTGAAGGATGAACAGAGAAGAGAAGGAAAATTTCATGTCATGTATGCCAACCAACATCGTCGTCATTCATCATTGCAAAGGCAACGACAGAAGTACTCACAAATTACCACTCAGGTGCCACAGGTGGGGCAACGGAACACACACACACACACACACACACACACACACACACACACACACACAAGGCGGGTCCGGGTAATTGTAATGACATTGTCATTCAACAAGTCAAGCAGCACGCATACTCAAATGTGCACGCAAGCACGTGCACACTGCTGCACACGAAACAAAACCAAACGGTACATTACCATTGACACAAAGAACCACATCACCACGCATATTCGACTACAATGCATCTCCCTCGCCAGCGCCCCAATCACCACACGACACTAAGTCACGTCAAGTCACGTTGCGTCATGTCACATCATTGTGTTTCCTCGTCGCCAATCTGCAGGTACTCCTCACCCACAGCCGTCTCCTCCAATGTGCCGTCAATCGCAGCCCTGAACGCCTCCACCCACTGCTTTGCCGTATCCTTGTCCTCAAGCTGTGTCAGCAAGTGTGTGTGCGCGCGCGTGTGTGTGAGTTGGTGTGATGAGTTGTGCGAGTGAGTGAGTGAGTGGGTGAGTGGGTGAGTGAGTGAGTGAGTGAGTGTGCGTGTGTGTGTGTGTGCGCGCGTGCGTGTGTGTGCGCGCGAGTGCACGTGTTTGTGCACGCCGTAGCGGTTGAGGTCAAGATGCCCTCATCGCCATCATGCCACAATGCACATGCATTGCATGCCGATGCGTCGTCACAATCGAACACCACTGCCATCACAATCACCGCCATCATGATGTTTACCTGAATGACAAGCTCCGTGCTGTCGCGGTGTTTCAGGATCACACGCATCTTCTCACTGTGCACGTGTGCGCGAGAGTCATGAGGGCATCAACATTGTAAATGAGAGCACAGGTTTTGTTGCAGACTTTACGAACAGTACGCACGCGCGCACACACAGCACACGCCCAACCATCGCACAGCACACACATACACGACAAAACAAAACAAAGCTCTTTAGCGATACCGTGTTGCCTTCCACGTGTTGTCGACCACGATGGTTTTGATGGGATTCTCGCATTCCATATCCGTGAGCTCGTACAGAAACACCATCTCGCCCTGCAAGAACAGCCACTTCTTCGTCTTTGTCTCCTTCCCGCGACGCAACCCGCTTCGCTTGCCTGCGAATGTGTGCCGTGTGTGTGTGTGTGTGTGTGTGTGTCATATGAGTTGTGTGTGTGACAAGGAAAGGGGGAGTGAGTGCGCTAGTGCGAGAAGGAGTCACAACAGCAACCGGACATACATACACACAAGCAAACAAGCAAACAAGCACAATCATCATCATCATCATCATCAATAGCAGCATCACCATCATCATCAATAGCAGCATGCAACGCACCTCGAATGACCCAAGTGACCTCGCCCTCCAAGTATGTGATGGTGTCAGGCACCCACGAGCCAGGCTCGTAGTAGTTGCCCTCTGTTGACATGTTGATGAGAATCAAAACACGTTTGTGTCGTGATGAGTAAGCGTGGAATGCAAACGAGACAGCAACAACGCAGACGAAGCTGTCGCACTTGTGTCACGCATGTCGCAATTGCTGTCATGCGCAGCGTTTTTGAACTCACCGGCGTCTGTGTATCCACCCTCGACATCGTAATACCCTTAAAAGGATGAAACAAGCAAACCCATTCCACCGTGAGGACAAGTCAAAACGCCTTCACACCTGTGCCATGCGCGAGGAGGACATGTAGAGTCGCACACAACGCGCACATCACATCAAACACCTAACCATCCACATCCACACCCACATCCACACCCACATTCACACACACCATTCCAACCAAACAACGACACCGATGCTTCCCACCTCCATATTCATCGTAGTAGCCGCCGTACTCATCGTATCCGTTCTCGTCCACATATCCTTCTTCGCCCTCCACCGCGGCCTGTGACGCTTCAAGCGAAGGTTCATCCTGCTCCACATATGTTTCAGACAGGTTCTCGAAGAAGTTGTCCTGGTAAAACCCGCCTTGCTCGTTGAAAGCACCTGTTCCACAAGGCGAGCAGAGGCAAGGTGAGATTAAACCATCCAGGGGGAGGAGAGATTCATGCTCAAGCTAGCAGCTTGTCGGCCACACACCCACCCACCCACACACACCCACCCACCCACACACACACACACACACACACACACACACACACACACACACACACACACACACACACACACACACACACACACAACCATGCACGCATATACACGCACCAGGATCTGTTGTCCGTGGTCTGACATGTCGTTGACAACACCACGAGGCGATTTCATGATGGACGGTCCAAACACAAGGGAGAGGTTCTGAATGCCCATTCTGTTCGCTTCCTCCTCAGCTGCCACCCTGATCAGGGCAACAACAGCACACAAACACACACACACACACAAATGTAGATGACAACAGGAGAAATTGCCAACGAGTGAGTGGTTGAGCGTTGCTGAGCACATCGAGTGTTGAGTGCACGGCACATGCGCAGAGGTACGTTCAAATCATTCTCCACACACACACACACACACACACACACACACACACACACACACACACACACACACACACACACAGAGCAAACAACAAGAGCAAGTGCGTACTTCTTGAGGTGGCGAATGAGGCTGTCGAGAAGACGGTAGTTGTCTTGCGGGAGTTTCTGCAGCACAGCAGAGAGCGCCTACACGTGACGGTAGACAGTGTACATGTAGGGTTATGGTGAGACGGGGATGACAGCCAACGCGATTCGTGTGAGAAACATGCAAAGCACATGATGTGTTCAAACGGTTACAGCGACGTAGTTACACACACACACACACGTACACACGCCCACACATACTCACGCCCACACACACTCACACACACACACACACACACACACACACACACACACACACACACACACACACACACACAGCACCTGGTGGCGCGCCGTGTCGTCCGTGCGCTCAAGACAGGCGATGAAGTCGTCGTACAGCGCGTGTGTCAGCAGAGGTGGTGTCATTTCCTTCAACAGAAGTTTGAGCACGCTCGTCAGGACGGGAATCTCCGCATCGTGCACAGCGCCAAACCCTTCCTCAAGCAACTTGTCCTGGCGTGTGCGCGAAGATTCGTGCAAGGGTGTTCATGCAAGTGAGGAATACTGTCGCCGGTGACAAACATGGCGGACGAAATCACACGCACACACATACATACACATACATGCACACGTGCACAAGTACATGCGCACACACAAATACACCTGCACAAGTACACACCTACACGCACACACGCACACACACGCACGGCCTTTGCGTACCTTTGTTGCAATGACTTTGGTCTGGGAGCCGGAGACGCGATAAAGGCCCTCCGTGGTGATGCCACGACGCTCCACTTCCTGCATGATGCTGCGCACAATGCGAGGCAGCTGCCAACGGTGATTGGTGGTGAGAGTGGGTGGGGGTGCGCGTGAGTGACGAACGTGGTTGGTAATGATGATGATAAAGGGCATTGATGAAGGTTGGCGTTGTGCATGTGAAATAAAGGGTGCGACGAAGGGAACGAACGTCGCTTGAATGAAGCATGCGAATGGAAACGTGTGATTGCATTAAAGAACACGCACACACACACACACACACACACACACACACACACACACACACACACACACACACACCACACAGCCACACGCACGCACGCACGGACACACACCACACGCACGCACGCGCACCTGGTCTGAGAAGTAGACGTTGCAGGTGTTGGCGACGGTCTGCAGGAGATCAAGCGATGGGTCATCGAGGTCCAGACGGCAGTGGAGTGGCGCCCACACGTAATCTGCACCGTCAAGAACCTGCCGAGTGCACAACCGCAGCATGGTACGGTGGTGGTGGTGAGGAGGAGGAGGGGCAGGAGAAGAAAGAGAAGGCGGAAGCCGTGGTGGTGACGTATGCTTGACTTTCGCATGCATGTAAATGCGCGTGTGTGTGCGTGTAAAAACGTGGAGAGTTTACGCAGCACTGAAGCATGTGGCGAGTGAGTAGTGGGTGAGGGGGAACAGGAAGGCCGTCGACAGTCATCAGCCAATCATGTGACATCACACCTCCTTTGGCAGATTGCATTCGTCTGGACAGTGCATCCACAACGAGATGAGCTCCACCCACGCGTTGTCTGTGCTCCGATCATCCGCGGGAACACCCTGATGTATGTTTGAGGAAGCGGTGTAACGTAAGCATGGTGGCGATGGCAATGGTGTGTGTCAGCATGCGGTGACAAGTCGTTTGTGCATTCCAGTGTCTCACACACAGAACAGAGGAAGAGAACGCCTTCAACAATTTAACGGCACGTTGATACGCAAACACGCATGTAAAAAAAAAAAAAAAAACCGCACACATGCAAGCATACTTACACACGCACATACACACAAGACAACCCGACCTTGTACAGCTCGTAGGCGTTTGAGACCATTTCCGGGATGGAGCAAATGGCGTTCGGGTCCAAATCGTCTGTGACGTCAATTTCGCCGTCAAATCCAAAATACTCCTGGAGCGTTGGAGGAAATTCAAGGGCAATTTGGCGCCGATCCGTTGGCAGATGCAGCTGTCATGTCGAAGATGAAGAAAGGAAGGGGGAACGTGGGGGGGGGGAGGTGCAGGTGAGTGCTTGTTTGTTCGCGTGTGTTTAGGTGCTTGGGTGCTCGCGTACGTGCGTGCGTGCATGTGTGCGTGAACGCGGTGGCGAAAGGGCAAAGCAAAGTGCGATATATCAAATCAGATGTCAACAAGACATCGACAGACGACAGCAATGCACATTCAACAATACTGCGCAACCCTGTTGCACCGCCCAGTTATATTGCCTCACCTCTCCGTGTTCGATCTTCAGCAGCACCTCCATGACTGGCAGATTGTTCTTGAATGCGCGCTGCTGCACTCCGGTCGTGCTCAAATATCGCCACCGCGTGACGATTGTTGTCTGGAAATGGTTTGGACCCCACCGACCTGCACACACACACACACACACACACACACACACACACACACACACACACACACACACACACACACACACACACAATGGTAAATGAAGGTGGCGAAAGGGTAATGAAAGAGTGGGATCATGTAAATGTGAATATGTGTGTGAACACGAGCAGAGGATAGCTGCTTCGCTGTATGTTTATGTCCGCATGAAGATGCGAGTATTCGTGCGCAATTGATTCCACGTTTCCCATCAACGACACGAGCGGTCATGCAAGCACGCATCATTTCATGGCTGAGCGACTTCAACTCACCGAGAACGCCGCGGCCGCTGATGCCCGTGCGACGCAGCGGATTCCTGCACACACACACACACACACACACACACACACACACACACACACACACACACACACACACACACACACACACACACACACATATGTGCAAACAGACAGACGCAGAAATCCATCAGCACATCCGCGCACACACACTGTACACACACACTCAAAAACACATAACACACACGCACGCACACACACACGCACGCACAAGCACACACACACACACAGCAGCGACATGTACACACCGTGGCACGCCCTGCATGATCTTGTAGAGGCCGAGATAACTCCGCCGGTCAATGCCATACGCTTCGTCGATGTTGTTGAACGACAGCAGCGCGTACTCCTGCACAACAATACCAAGTCACATGGCAGAAATGGCGTATGTGTGTGTGCGTGTTAGAATTGACGAGCAAGCAACGTGATATGGAAACGCAATCCACAAATCCATGAATACAGCAACAGGGCGGCACAAAGTAACAGTAACCATTGCCGCACACTGCAGTAATCTCGTGCACACACACACATACACCCGCACACACAGAAACACCCTTCCGACACACATGTGCAACACACGCACGTGTTCAATGTCGGGATCTGCCCACTCTGGCTGCGACGCGACCTCGTTGGCGGTGAAATGCACGGGGCGGTACCCTGTGGCAGCACAGATGGTGTTGGCGTCGTCAGGGTGGAAGGATGGAAGTGAGAGTGCGAACGTATGCAAATGTGTGTGTCTATGCTGTGACCAGATAAGGCAACTCGTGCGCTCTTCCCTCTTCCCTCTTACATGCACACAACCACACACACAATCACGCATGTACACAGCCACATGCATCGTTCACACCTTTGTCGAATTCGAGCCAGGACGAGTGGTGGATGGGCGCACGCCGAATGCCCGTGTCCAAATACTCTCCACTCTGCATCACAGCCTGCGATGGTCGGGATCATGGTGATGGTGGTGGTGATGATGATGATGTTTGTATGTGATGGTGTTAGAGGTTGCGGTATTCGAACATGATGGTGGTGGAGACAAAACACAAGGAGGAAGGACCAAACCAAAGTTGCTTGGAATCAACATGTTCTGTCTGCCGCCCTTACCCCTCCACCCCAAGTGTCACCCAAACTCATTTCCGCGCTGCTGCGTGCATGCAAGCACGCACACACGCGCTCCATTGCTGATCATATCCCATGCACATGTGCCGAAGCGTCACAATCACCATGTGTTCACCTCGATGCCATCCAGCGCATAGGATGAGGGCGTGGACATGAGGGAAAAGCGATGATCCTGTAAGGCACGTGAAAGGAGGGGCACAAGTGAACGGCAGTATCAGCTGAAGCTTGGGGATAGTTGTGTTGCAGATGTACACATGCACAGGTATGCACGCATGCTCAAGTGCACACAGGCACACACACAAATCACACACACACACACGAAAAGTTACACAATCACACACACACACACACACACACACACACACACACACACACACACACACACACACACACACACACACACACACGTCACAACTCCACAGCGTTCGCACGTTGACGGGGGTGGTGTGGAGGGTGATGGGGCGCCACAGCTCTGGCAGCGGGACATTGGGGTGCTCCCACGGGCCAAGGTCATCAAGGAGCGAGGACAGCTGTTGTGATCATGGGCGGTGGTGGCGATGGCGGTAGAAGCGACGAGGGACACATGGAGCATGCCGGAGAGTTGTCAACTGTTTGTACGTCTTACGATGCGCAATGACACAAAGGAATGAAGCGACAAGCAGCACACAAACACACACACACACACATGAACAAACGCACACCCACAAAAAAGAATAAACACACACCACACACCCAAACCCCCCATACCCACACCCACGTCGTCCACACCTTGTCGGCGGTGTCCTTGTCATCGCTGAGGGCGAGTGATTCCACAATGTGCTGCTTGTGGTTCATGAGAACCTTCAGGAGAACCTTGAGTTCCTTCTCGTAAACGCCAGGAACAACGCGCCCATCCCTCTTCCTGTTGGCAGAGGCGCAATGCGTGCATGCAGGCAACACACAATCGTCAGCGTGTGAAATGCCAAAGAAGACAGGTCACTGTAAACCTCACGTCACACTTTACACATCACACACCACAGCATACATTCCACCCCACGCATGCAATACCACATTCATGCCTTTGCTTCATGCTCCTTTTTCCGGCATGAATTGCGTCATGTTCGTACCTTCCCAATGTGGAAAGATCGCGCGGTTCACCGGCGGCGGAGCGGAGATTGATTCCGAACGACGAAAACGCGCGCAGCGTCGTCTCATCAACCACAGGCGGCACCGCAGACAGCTGTATGATTGTGTGTGTGTGTGTGTGTGTGTGTGTGTGTGTGTGTGTGTGTGTGTGTGTGTGTGTGTGTGTGTGTGTGTGTGTGTGTGTGTGTGAAGTCGGCGTTGAAGATGCTCAGCTTCACAGCCCACCCAAACATGACCAACTACCACCACCACCCCCCATCATCATCATTGTCACCACAATGATGAGCAACGCAATCACAGCCACCATCTCCTCACCGGTGTGCCGTAGTCGGGCCAGTCTGTGAAGTGGTATTGAACAACCTGCATGATTGGAGGTGATGCATTGAAGGTGTGTCAGGTGTTGGAATTCAAGTAGGGCATGCAACATGTAGTGAATGCACACAACACGCTCACTTCCACGCGGAATGGTTGCACCACCAAAGACACACACACCCACACAAACACGCACACACAGTCGTACCCTGCGAGGTTCGTTGTCGTTGATGCGAAGTGAAAACACGCGTTCGCTCCACGTGAATCCGTCCTGTTCATCCACATGTTCGACGGTGATGCGATTTGGGTACCTGACCACGCCCAACCGTGCGTGCATGCATGGATGAGACGAGAGACGAGCACATGAGTGACACCACGCCAGCACACATCACAACGCCACGCATCACTTCACCACACGCCACTTCATGCGACCGCACCCTTTCTCTGGCTCGAACGTGACGGTGTCGTTGATGTCTGGCCAGTACTGATCGCACTTGATCCTGAAGAACACATACGGGGAGAGATGGTGAGCGACGTTGTGGTTTCATTCACCAGAGCACGCAGTACAAACACGTGTTGTCACACTTAATTTTGCACACCCACATACGTTCACACCCACATACACCCACGCACACACACACACACACACATACACACACACACATACACACATACATACACACACACGCACACACACACACGTGCTTCGTACCGGGAGCCCTCGATGGTGTTTGTGACCATTACGATGACACCCGTGTTGTACTCGGCCACCATTTCCCAAAACACGCGCGTACTTGTTTTGGTCGGCCCCTGCATACAGAACAAAGAGCACGCATGTGCAGACAAGGGAGTAAGTGGGACGAATATGGAAGGGAGCAGGGGGGGGGGACAGAGCAAACAGAGAAGAGCAAATAGAGACCACAGTGGCATCTGTACACAAACAAATCTCTCAAGAGCGAAAGAGGCGACCATCTCCAGGCCTGTTTGCCATGTGCATCTTGTTCATTTTCTTTCCTTGTCTTGTATGCACATGCGCACGCGCGTGCACGCGCATGGGACGCATTGCGCTAACTTTACCTGTGTTGCGATGAAGTTTGGTGTTCCAGGCATCAACTGCTGAATGTGACTCTGTGAACACGTACACACACACACACAACAGGAACGAAGCCAGAGTGAGGGGTGGATTGTAGTCGGAGCGCCCACGTATGTGTGCAACTGAACGCACCAACACAATGAGAAATCAAGCAAGCAACATGCACTCATGTAAACACACACACGCACACACACAAACATTCACACACGCAAAAACAAAAAACACAAACACAAACACAAACACAAACACACATGTGCGAACACATACACAGCACCACCACGACCACCAACACTCACTGCGTTGATGTAGTCCGGTGTGCACTTGTGCAGCACAACGCGACTTGCATCGTAGGGGACAATGTCGTTGTACCTGTGGCATCACAGTGCGTGAGCAATGTGTCAGTCAACTGTGCGGTGCATGACCACGGCTTTAGGATCAGACCAGCTGTCTCAAACCGTGTAAGACGCACACATTAGGACATGCACATTGATTGATACACTGAAATACACCACACACTTTCTCGCCTACCACACACACACACACACACACACACACACACACACACACACACACACACACACACTCTCTCTCTCTCTCTCTCTCTCTCTCTCTCTCTCTCTCTCTCTCTCTCTCTCTCTCTCTCTCTCTCTCTCTCTCTCTCTCTCTCTCTCTCTCTCTCTCTCTCTCTCACACACACACGTTCACACACACACACGTTCACCCACCGGTTGAGGTGTGCGTTTGCTCTGCCCGCCTTGCATCGGCTGTGTTGGTACTGCTTCATGGACTCCGTGTCCAGCGCTTGAAACGCTGTCTCAAATCCAGAGCTCTCATTCAACCTACAACGTGCGCATGTGGTGCGTGTGTGCGTGTGTGCGTGTGTGTTTGCGTGAGTGTATGTCAACACGCGGTGGTGCACGCCAGCACAGACGCGAGTGTCGTTACAAATGTCAGAACACGCACGCTCTCCCTCCATCTCCCCTCCCCCTCCATCATCGTCCAGCAACGTACTTGGTGATGGTCCGGCCAAGTTCCTCGATAGCGTGGCTGATCACCTGCATGGCCAAGCAACACCGTGACGTTACAAGGGCTTTCCGAGCAGGTGTGCAGCACCCACAAACACACACACACACACACACAAACACACACAAACACATCAACCCACACACAACACAACACAACACAATCCACATCAACCCACACACAACACAATCCACACACACACACACATCAACAGACCTCCTTGCGCTTGTGCAGCAGGTCAACTTCGCTCTTTCGGCTGGGCGCCATGCGACGTGACGTGTCCTTGCGTGAGGAGTTGCTGCGGTGCAGCGACTGCTGCTTCTGCTGCTGCTGTTGGTGCTGGTGCTGCACAACACCCTGAGGGAGGATGATGCCGTCCATCATCCTTGGCCCTGGTGTCTCTGCTGGTGTTTCTGCTCCTGCTGCTGTCTGCTGTTTGCTGTTTCACTTGTATTGCTTGCTTGCTTGCTTGTCTGTCTCTCAACTTCCTCTGTGCCAGCCGGCTCAAACTCTGTGCTGTTGTTGATGTGATGTGACTGTGTTTGCCCGTTGAATGCGTGCTGGGTTGGTGGCAGGCTAGCTCTCTCGTCTTCTCTCGTACTTGCTTGCTTGCTTGGGTCGTCGTCGTTGTTGGCTGAGCTGAGCGTTGTTGGTGCCTTTGCCTGACCAAAATGAAAACCCAAAGGAGCTCTCTCTCTCTCTCAAATGGGTCGCCGAACCCCAGCAGAGGGTTGTCAGGTGCGGTGGCTGGCTGGATGGCTACAACCAACGTGGTGTGCATGATTTGTGTGCATCACATCAGCAGCAAAATGGCAGCTTCGCTCACGTTTGCCAAAACGGCGGTTTTTGAGGCTGAAGATCCTGACGGACAATTCAAGATTCGCGGCCTCGTTGAGGGGCGTTGTGTGCAGTTGTGATGAATATTGAAGACGCCAACGACTTTTCGCCCAATCAAAACAACAGATACCGACAGCACAAAGTAGATACAACGGTTAGATAATTAGTGGATGATTTTGTATTATTTTCAACCAGCACAGACAAACGATGGCGGAGATGCGGCGAATGGCTGCTGTTGTTGTTGGTCTTGTTGCGATCGTTGCTCTGCTGAGCGGCCTGGGCGTCCAAACTGACGCCCTTGAGGCCGAGCTGGTCAGTGGCGGCGCACAAGTCTCTTCTGCAACCATCATGACGGAGGCGCCACAGGTGCAGCAGGTGCAGCAAGAGCAAGAAACGCACCTTTCACATAACGCCGTGTGCAGTCGTGTGGGCGCGATGCTCAACGCCCTCAAACAACAAGAAGAACCAAGGGGACGCATGTCAGCGATGACCTCGAATTTCGCTCCGCCGAACACAGAGGAGGACACAAATTCTGTTGATCAAGCGCAGGCGCGAACAGTCCCTCTGCACAACAACAACAACAACAACAACAACAACAACAACAACAACCACCACCACCACCACCACAACAACAACAACAACAACAACAACAACAACAACAACAACAACAACAACAACAACAACAACAACAACAACAACAACAACAACAACAACACCAGCAACAACAACTGGCGCACGTTAAATCAGGTTCGCCTTGGGCAAGGCAACAACACACACTCAGGTGTGCCACCGCTGCGGACCACGTCTTATCGCTCTTCTCAGACTGCTGAACGCGTTTCACGCGCGGCGTTTGTTTCACCAGCTTCGGTCACAGTCCAACTCGACGCCATGGATCTGCTGGCCCTCCAGCACCTCTATGACACGACGTGCGCACAAACGGAGCCGTCAGGACCACCGTCACCCAACAACAGGCCCGAGATTCATAACAACAGACACCAAAATGTAAGAAAGTGATGCCCTCGCCACACTCAGTGTGGTAATGTAACCTGACAAAGAAACCACCCACGTTGCGTATTTCGCCCGCCCTCTTCCAATCCCAAACACACACTCACACACACACACACTCACTCACACGCATACATACGCACACACACATACGCACACACTCACTCACACGCATACATACGCACACACACATACGCACACACGCACATACACACACGCACACACGTATGCTCACGCTCAACGACTTCCATCGCTTCGCCACCATCACCACCACACAACCTCTCCCCCCAACTTACCCAAACAACACCACCACAGACCCCCACATCCCACACAGAGATTTCAGCGACACCGCCAAGGTCAAAGCGAAGGCGCCGCGCCTCTGCCTCCAACGCGCTGCTGCGGACCGGAGTGCCGCCAACGGTCGTGTCTTGCACGGTGACGGAAGTGCTGCTGGGGGACTGTGACAATGTCGCGCAGAAGTCAGCCAACGTCACGCTACAACTGGATTTCTCTCAATTCAAAAAGGACGACGTGCCGTCAACAGCCAAGGAAGAAGAAGCGGCAGCAGGAGCGCTCGCGGCCCTCACTTCCAGCCCCAACATACAGCATGTCGTGTTTCTGGGGAACCCTCACAGCAACAAGCGTGGGCTTGCGTGGGTGCTTGAGCACGGGTCGTGGGCGCACGTGCCCTCGCTCCACATTAAGGACGACACGCGCCGCAGCGAATGCCTGCAGACATACAACGCATTTGAATCCTTGCGTCGCCTCGATCTCAGCCACAGCCGCATCTTCGCCTTCTCGGGACCCCCCTCGACCCACTGCGCTGCCAATGACCCACCAGCCTTTGCAGACACCCTTCGTTTCCTAAACATCTCGCACAGCCACTTCATCGCCTTGCCAAGCCACGCGCTGCAAGGTTTCACGGCCCTGCAAGATCTTCACGTCTCTCACAACCTCCTCACAAGCGTGGGGGGTTCGCTGCAAACCGCCTTGCCTTCCTCGCTCGTCACACTCAAGCTGGACAACAACATCATTCGCCACATCACTCAGGATGCATTCGACAACCTGTTGAGTCTGCGTGTGCTGAGCCTCGCTTCCAACGACATCGAGATACCTGACGGCTTATTTGACAGGCTCACGGCTCTCACCCACCTCGATCTCAGCTACAACCCGATCGAGGACTTGCCAAATGGCGTCTTTGATACCCTCACGCTCCTGGAAGAGCTTCAGCTCACAGACACGCGCATCCAAAAACTGCCGCCTCGCGTTTTTCACAACACACGCCGGCTGAAGCTCGTGCGGATTCGCAACGCGCAGCTAAGCGTCCTCGACAGCGACCTGTTTCTAAACGCGAACCAGCTCACGGAAGTCGTCTTCACAAACAACGACCTCACCAGTCTGCCCGCCACTCTTTTCCAAAACCATCCTGCGCTCTTCCGTCTCTTTCTCGACGATAACCGCATCAAAACAATCGACGAGGCCCTGTTCCAGCACTGCCCTTCACTTCAACATCTCCACCTAAGCAACAACCTGCTCACGACTCTACCTGAGCGTATTTTCCAGAACAACACTGGCTTGAATTTTCTCGTGCTCACGCGCAACAAACTGCACTCGCTCCCGCCAGGCCTGTTCCGCAACGTGCCAATTGTTGCGCTTTCCATCGCCCACAACGAGCTCAAGGAGTTCAACCACAAACTTCCGCACCTGAGTGACGTTGACCTGAGCTTCAACAAGCTCACCCAGCAGCCAGACATGAGCCATTTTCCCAGCCTGCGCGGACTTCTCATGAACGGCCACACCATCAAAGATATTGATCTTGCGCCGTTTCTGAGCAACCCCAGCATGTCTGTGCTCGAGCTGGATGCGCTGTCTCAGGACGAGCATCCAGGAACTTCGCGCGCACTCCTGCATGAAGAAGAGGCCCTCAACACGAACCTTACAACGCTTGACACGCTAAGCTTGGAGAACGTCGAGCTGAGCCCAGAGGTCGTACCTGCTTTGAAAGAGGCGAAGATGTCTCTAAGGCGCCTTGTGTTGGGCTGGCCGGGCATGCACGAGAGCTCCGTTCCCTTGCAGGCGCTGTGCAACATCCTTGGGGCAAACGTGCGCGAGTTTGGTCTTGTGCACACCGCCTACACCAACATTACCACATGCGAACGCAAGGACTACGAGCTGGTGTTTCTCCAAGACAACACGCACGTCACATCCGTCACGGTGTTTGACGATGTTGCGCAGCTGAATGTGTCCGGTTGTACAGAGCTCACCACCCTACATGCATCTGTCGTGGACATCCTGGACATTAGCAAGACGCGCATCATTCCTTCCAGCGCGTTTTGTACGATTTGGGGCCAACGCATGGTGTTTGCACGTGACCTCGGTCTCGACATCAAGCAGCTTACTGCTGCCCGTGTTGGAGGCTTGCTTCAACACTGCCTAAACCTCATCGACGTCATTGACCTATCAGGAAATAGGGCTTTGAACACGTACAACTTGCTGTCAGGAGCTGCCTCGCGCGTGACATTGCTCACCGAGCAGGACAACTTGCGTCCCATCGACCTGGTGTTCGACTTTCCCTCGCGCAAAACCATCCCGCTTCTCATCTTGGAAGATCTGCCCATTCAATGCAACGTTCGTCTTACAACGGAGGACGTGCGGCCATTTGATGGCGAAAGCATGAATGTGGATGACTTCAACATCAAGCCCGGCTTCTTCCTCAAGTGTCAGTGTGCACGCGGGTTCCGGCCTCGCGGTGGTGTGTGCGTGGTGGACGACCGTGCCCTCATCCGCATTGCAGCCCTCAGTGCCGGCGGATCCATCCTCTTTGTCCTCGTCGTGCTCCTCATTGTCTGGCGCGTGCGCAGGACGCTGCGGTACCAGGTGCTCCTGCAGCACGACAACGACGTGAAGCAGCTGCTCATTGACGAGCGCGAGCAGGAAGTGCTTGCCCTGAAGAAGGTGTGGGAAGTGGAGTTTGACGAATTGCAGCTGGTGAAGCGTGTCGCTGCGGGCGCGTTTGGCACCGTCTTCATGGCAAAGTGGGACACCCTCACTGTCGCCGTCAAGGTGCTGCAGCATCAGGCGCTTGAGTTTGACGAGACCACCCGCTTCGAGTTTGAAAAGGAGGTGGAGTTCCTCCAACGCACGCGCCACCCGAACGTGGTTCGTTTCTTCGGTGCTGGCACCAACCCGCACGGCAGCCCCTTCATTGTGCTTGAGTATGTGCCGCTCGGCTCTCTGCGCAACCTCCTCGCTGGCGATCTTGGTGTTGTCCTCCTCCAGGTGCAGGCCGAACAGCAGCAGCAACAGCAGCGGCAGGAACAAGCATCGGCCTCACATGAACCAGACATGGGCGTGGTGGACGCCAGCGAAGACATGCTGCTTGTCACCACCGGTCTTCAGGCCCAGCGCGCCTCCATTGCCGACCTGCTGACAGTGTGGGACCTCAAGCTGCGTCTTCTTCGTGATGTGGCCGCCGGCATTGCATTCATCCACTCCCTTGGACACGTGCACAGGTGTGTGCAAGCGCGTGTGTGTGTTTGTCTGTGTTTGTCTGTGTGTGTGTGTGTCTGTGTGTGTGTGTGTGTGTCTGTGTGTGTGTGTGTGTGTGCGTGCGGATGCACATGTGTGTGTGCTTGGAGAGTGTGATTTCTTGGCTGCATCTTGAAGGCTTGCCCTTACAACGTAGTTGACTCTTGCTGAGCCCTTTTAAGTTGCACACCCTGACTGACATAAACTCACCCTCATCAATCCCACACTGGTGTTTGATTCAGGGACATCAAAAGCGGGAATGTCCTGGTGTCAAGCACACTGCGCGCGAAGATCACCGACTTTGGATCTATCCGCCAGTGTCTGACACGAGCCGACACGGACGCGCGTGCAACAGCCATGTCGCCATTGCACACCGCTGACACGGCGTTTGACATGCAGTACTTGCAGGGCGTTGGATCGGAATCCATGCACCTCTCACTCACGGCGGGTGTGGGCACGCCAATGTACATGGCGCCGGAGGTGCTGGGAGGCGAGACGTACGACGCGCAGGCGGATGTGTTCAGCTTTGGCGTCCTCATGTGGGAGGTGGCAACACAGTGTGACCCAGACCTCATTGCACAGGAGCGACCCAACGGCTTCCGCGGGCCTCTACTGCACACCCTCCACGCTCTTCTCCAGGACGGCAAACGCCTCCAGTACACAGGTACGCGCTCTGTGTGTGTGTGTGTGTGTGTGTGTGTGTGTGTGTGTGCTGATGTGTGTGTGTGTGTGTGTGTGTGTGTGTGTGTGTGTGTGTGTGTGTGTGCTTGAATGTGTGCGTGTGTGTGCTTGAATGTGTGTGTGCCTGTATGTTCATGGCTGTGTGCGCGGTGTTGTGCAAACTACAAACTTGAACGCTCACATGCAGTCACATTTCCATGTCGTGTGCAACCTGGTATGTCAATGAATCGTGCGTGCCATCCATTTTGGCAGAGGGCTGCAGCGCACCCGGATGGTTTCGGCGGCTGTCGGCTGCCTGCATGCACTGGAATCCGTCCTCCAGGCCAACATTTCAAGAGCTGCGCGATGTGAAGCTTCTACAAGAAACAGAATGAATGAACGAATGTTTGCGCATGCGCGGGTTGCATGTGTGTGTATGTGGTGTGCGTTGTGTGTGTTTGTGTGTGTGTGTGTGTGTGTGTGTGTGTGTGTGTGTGTGTGTGTGTGTGTGTGTGTGTGTGTGTGTTTCAACTTCAACTTTCAATGCTGGCTGTGATTTACGTTCATTTACTTGCCCAATTGACCTCTGCAATAACAAAGCTACACCGCATAGATGGTTGTCATGCACACACACACACACACACACACACACACACACACACACACACACACACACATTCAGACATGCACACGAGTATAATCAGCCATATCCCCACCCCCTCACACACACATACATAAATGTCACGCGGATGAAGTAAACGTCACTGGCACACGCTTCTCCTCGCCAGTCATGCTGGACTTGAGGAACACCATAACCTCTGTCTGTCCAAACTTCATTCGCACTTCCAACGGCGTGTTGCGCCAGCCCAACGCCTCAACGGGAAACGGCACGCGACACTCCTCCCGCACATGCGACTTGTCATCGGAGAAAACGACGTCACGGCGATGGCTCGAGAGGATGGGCACAGTCGCACGCCGCTGCTCAAGGTACATCGGGTGGAAACACTGCCGCACCTCATGGTCAACAGGAACCTTGTCATTGGCGCGCACAAACGGCGTAAACACGTTGGACACAACATTCATCTTCTTCTGGGCATTGTGGCGCACGCGACGGCCGGCATCAACATCTGGGTGGTCACGCTTGAACACAGATTCCGCAACGCTGCTGCCAATGCCGTACGTGAGGGCGGACCGCCTTGCAGCGATGGTAACGCCCCCGCACTGACCAAACCTGACAGCGCCCATGACGATGGAGGCCCACGGCCGGGGTGGGATCAGCACCTGCACACCCGATTCCGATGCAGCCTCCCGCACAGCATCTCGCACAAAGCTGCTACCCCCAAACCCGCCAACAAGCACAACATAGTCCGTCCGCCCCATGTCGCGCAGCAGCTCACGCACGTGCGTCTTGATGTCATTCAGCACCTCGTCGTAGAACGTCTTCATGTGCGCAGCGGTCAGCTTCAGGCTTGCAGCACCAAAGCACTTGAGGTTCGCGCCTGGGTGCTTCCTGTTGTACCGGGCCACGGCATCGACCAGCTTGGGTGGCCTGTCCATCTCTTGAAGCACAGGGTTGAGGTTGATGCGCAGCCTGGCGTCGGGGTCGCTCAGCCGTGACACGTCAAAGTTCACCTTGCGGTCCTCCCACACGCTCGTCAGCATGTCAAACACCGCAAACGTGTTTGCGCGCAGGCACGGCGGGTTGTCCAGCAGCTCGCGCAGGAACTCCAGAAACTTCTCGTCAATGCGGGTGGAGCCCCAGTTGCCGCCGCGCGGTGGCAGTGCCGCCTCAAGCCGCACGTTCGGCTTCGGCTGCATCGCCTCAAACGCGGCCGTGTCCACCGTGCCCCCGCCACAGTCCACCACCACATACCGCGTCCCCCGCTTCAGCAGGTCCGCAGCAAGCGTCTCGTGGCAGTCCAGCGCAGCACACTCCGGCTCAAGCGCAAGCAGCAGCCGGTCAGAGGTCTCCGTGTCAATCAGCCCGGCCTTGAATGCCGCACGCCGCATCAGCGCCTTGGACGACTCCTCCCAGATGGCAGGCACCGTCAGCACCCACTGCACCTCATACGCGCTCACGTTGAGTGCGTTGCGGTCCTTGATCTGCTGCAGCACCATGTCCTTGAGCAGCCCCAGGCAGCGTGCAATCACCAAGTCCGTCGGCAGCTCCAGGTCGCCCACGTCCGCCTTCAGCGTCTTGGCGCGGGAGTTCTTGTACAGCTGCATCTTGAAGCGGTGGAAGATTGCGTGCAGCCCTTCCTCATATCGGCTTGTCGCTGAAGGCCCAAACCCAACAGCGTTGTGCGGCGCCTGTCGCTCAACAACAACGCTCGTCGGCACTTTGATGTTGCTTTCACCAGGAAACTGCAGCGCCGTGACGTCGTTGTCGCTTGCCTGTGCGAGCTTGTACGCGGCTCCGCTGTTGGTTGTGCCAAAGTCAATAGCTGCGGTGCATCGTGCCCCCGGCACAGCCCTCCCATGTGTCGTCGTCCTCCTCTGCTTGTTCTTGCTCTTCGTGTTGTCCTTCTTGCTCTTCCTTGGTTTGTCCTTCTTGCTCTTTGTGTTGTTCTTCCTTCTCCTCGCAAATCGCCGAACCAGGAACATTGTTTGCAGCTGTCGCGAAGGTGCGATGGGAAGGGCTGCCGGTGCTTGTGTCAGGGTTGTTTTGTTTCTGGGTTAAATTATCTCTGTGGTGGGTGGCTGCAGACGTTGTGGCTGTGGGGACAACAACATGGAAAATGGCAAAACGAAACGAAGGCAGGCGACGAAACCATTGTGGTTTGGTGGTTTGGGAGTTTGGTGGTGTCACAAGCACATACGGGGAGGAGGAAGAAAGAAGAGTCACGCAATAGCATGGACAAACACGAAGCAGTACTGCAGTCGAAGCAGAAGGAAGAAACGAAACAAGAGAACATAGCTTGCGCTGTTGTTTGGCATGTCACATTGCATGAGTCAGCGAAGATGTGCCATGTCATCTCGCAGCACACGCAAGCACAAAAGCAGTTGAGTGTGTCACAGAACATAGAAGATACACGGGAGTACCTGCAGCTGTCGGAGAGAAGGCAGGCTGCAAGGGGAGTTTGAAGGTGTCAGGTCTGTCGCACGCTGCACCTGCAGCAGCAGGCGAAACGCGAAATGCGATTGTCACGCCCATCCAAGATAGGTGTGTCACACGCGGCACGTCTTCGAAGTTGTTCACAAATTGTCGCTGCGTGTGACACATCGAAATCGAGAGGATGCTGACTTGCTGGGATGCGCTGTCCCATCCCATCCAAGCATGCAGGTGAATCGATGAGAACGGCTGTCCCAAACCAGCGTGAGACACCTGTGACAGAGACAGATCGATCCACTTGACACATCACATTGTGTGGACGTTCGTCATTGGATGTTGTCCGGCCGTCTTGTTGTGCTCTTCTTCATGCCGTCCTTCCTGCTCTTCAAGCAGCAGCAATTCTAGAGCATTTGGACCTTTCCTCTTGCCAGTCTTGCCTTGCAGCCCTGCATCTTCCTGTGTCCATGGCACAAACAGTGTGTATTTCATTCCCGTCAACTCAACCTCTCATCTTGGTCTCCAAGTCTCCGTCTGCGACGTCCAGCAAGCCAATCCCACTCCTCACACCCCTCCCAGCCCACAAACCTTTCTTTCTTTCGTTTCCTTTCGTCCAGCGTTCCAACCCTCTCGTGCCTGTCCTTGCAGTCTGTGTCTTACTATGGCAGATGAGGTGCCGCTGCTTGTCGTTGGATGTGTCCTGAAGCAGGGCCAACGCGGCAAGCCAGCAGAACCGTTGCACCTTTACGACAGCGACGGCGCTTTGCGCACATCTCTCGTGTGTTTCTGGTTCAGCAAGGACAAGAGCGCGTGTCAACTGCGCTTCTTGCAGTCCGCTCGCACTGGCGCTCACCTTCGGCTTGAGAACGATGTGCTGAGCGCGCGCAGTGACGCGGCCAAGCTGCCGATCCAGCTACTGCAGTCTGGAAGCTATGTGTTGCCAGGATCGCCCGACATGATCATCCACCCGACCGCCGCGCTCAACGAGTCACTTCACCACGTGTGGAACAACGTGCGCTCCCTCACCTCGGCACGTCACAAGCTCCTGGGCACGTCACCAGAAGATATCAGCGAGGGCGGCGACTCGCTTCTGTTCAAGATGCTGCCGACTCCAAGTCAAGTGGCCGACGTGTATTGTCGTCTGTGCGATCAGCTCCTTGGAACAAGGAGAAGGCAGCCACAGCCCATCTTTCGAGATGCACGTCAGCGGGCGATGTTCCTTGATGAGATGCGCACACTCTATGAGGAGGCCAAGGGGCTCGTGGAGCACCAGCTCAAGCGGGTTGCATGTGCTTGTGGGGTGGAACCCGACAGCGTGGCAGCACGAACACATGTGCAGAGGACCTTTCCCGAGTGTTTCGGTCCTGCCGTTCGGACGCGGCTGCCTGGCGAGGACGCTGCTCGAGTCTCGGCCAGGGTCAAGATGAAGCGAGACTTCTTGATGACCTTTGTGGCCTGTCGACTCACAGACCCGCCCCTAGACCTCGACGAAATGGAACGCAAGGCACACCGAGGCACCCGCACTCGCCGAATCCCATGGAGGAGTCACGGGACACACGAGATTGTTGCCCCAAGGCTCGTGTCGCACTTGCCAGCCGAAGGGAAGGTGGAGATGGCCGGCCCCTTGCATGTGTGGGTCCCTCGCCACCCAAAGCATGACGAAGTGTAGCAAATGTGTGTGTATGTGTTTGCCTTTGTTTGTTCATGTGTGTTAAAGTGCGTGTGCGTGTTAACGTATGTGCGTGTGTAACGTGTGCGTGTGCTTTCCTGTCCGTTGTGTCTTTGATGATGCTGTTGGTGGGGCTTGGGTTTGTGGTCCACCCACAATGTTGTTGCGTTGTGATTCTTATTGTAACATAAATATGCACATTCAGAAACAGAGAAACGTTGCTCTGTTGCTTCTTTCCTGATGAGCTTCAGAACACAATCAATCAATCCATCAACCAACCAAACAGCCACACACAGCACAAACACAAGCGTCGCTCGTGTTCATACAAACTCGTTACACACACGCACACACACACACACACACACACACACACACACACACACAGCACAAACTACAACGGCGCACGTTTTCAAACACAGTCGTTACCATGCACTGTGATGAGACTGTGTATTGTTGTTCGTGTGAGCACGAAGCCTACGAGCTAGCCATCACAGATGACAGAGAAAGAAACACGCATTCTACACAGATGCTCATGTGAAACACAAACATGCTCTGCCCAGGGCGACACAAACACACAACATGGGCAGAGCAAGCATGCACCACAGACAACAGCAAACACCACACGTTCCCACAACACACAAGGGCCTCCACCCATGTCATCCCAGCACACGTGAGTAGCACAGGGCGCAGACACACACGCATGCAGTCAAAAGTTGGACAAGAGGGCGGTGTTTGCCCGTGCGCGAGAGTGGTGGGCCCACAAACGCGCATGGACATGAAATACATGACGTGTCGTGATGTGACATGATAAATGAAGCTGAAACGTACAAACTTCAGGACAACAGACATGCATGCAACAAGCACGATGGAGCACAGCTCTGCTTGAAGACGGAATCAAAACCAACACACACACACACATGTACACTGAAGCAGGACGACACACTCAAGAGCGAAACAAAACAAAAATAAAGCTGAATACGAATAGGAGGAAGCAAGAGAAAGACTTGGGTCGAATATGCTTCCATTAGTCCCCAGCCCGAGGATGAGCATGCATGGTTGTTTACGCGGTCATCATGACGAGGAGGGGCGTGCACCAGGTCACGCAGCCGCTGTTGCCGTGTTGGCAGTGGCATTGGTACCGCAGCCAGCACCAACAGCACCACCACCGGTGGCAGTGGCGGCGGGTGTTGCAAGGCTGGAGCGTCCGGACTTGCCACCACGACGGCGGTTGTTCTTCTTGCTGCTCTGACCGTTGCCACGTGCCTTTCCCTTACCCTGTGCTCCTGTCACAGATGTGGTGGTGGAAGCAGTGGCGGTAGCAGTTGCATGGGTTCTGGAACTTGCGTCGTGGCTGTGTGATGACCGTGCTGGGGATGGTGGTTGGCGTGCCACGGCAAAGTAGACAATGATGAGCGTCCCAAGGGAGGCCACACCTGTGCAGACGGAAACGGAGTTGTTGTTGTTGTTGTTGTTGTTGTTGTTGTTGTTGTTGTTGTTGTTGTTGTTGTTGTTGTTGTTGTTGTTGTTGTTGTTGTTGTTGTTGTTGTTGTTGTTGGTTGTGGCAGGGAGTGGGGATGGGGATGTGCGTTAGCGAGTGAATAGAGCGAGAGAAAAATGAGCAGGGGGGCGGTGCGTCAGAGTCGAGGGTGTGAGGAATCGCAAACAAGTTTACACACTTCACATCATGTCGACCAACAGCACGTGCTCAAGTGAACATACGAGCACTTTGACGCACCGATGATGGCGAGTGTCTGCATGAGCAGCGGGCGGCCCGTCTGCTGTCGCATCTCATCGCTGGTGGTGGAGATGGTGGTGGAGATGAGCACGTGGTTGGTGGCGGTGGCACGCGATGGTGACGGAGGAGGGTGAGATTCGTGGGGGGGGGGATGGTGATGGATAGGAAAGAAGGAAGACGGCGCACGCACACGATGGGAGCGGCCACAGTCCATTATGGAGAGGCAGACACACAAACACACGCAGACATAGGCACACACACATACACACAGACATAGGCACACACACACGCACACGCACACACGCACACACACACACACACACACACACACACACACGCACACACACACACACACACACACACAGACGCGCACGTGAGGAGGGAGCGGTGGTAGGCGGCCTGGGCCAGTGTGGGATCATGACGCAATGCGGCGTCGTAATTCTCCATCGCGGATGTAAAACGACCCTGTGCATGCAAACATGGATGGATGGATGGATGGATGGATGGGATGGGATGTATGTGTATGGAGAACAACATGAGGGAATGTCGGAAAATGCGAGGAAGCGTGAGGGCGAGTGGAAGCAAACGATCAAACCACACACAGACACACACACAGACACAGACAGACAGACAGACAGACAGACAGACAGACAGACAGACAGACAGACAGACAGACAGACAGACAACAGACAGACAGACAGACAGACAGACACACACACACACACACACGCCTTCGCGTGTGCCAACCTGGGTGTGCATGGTGCGTGCGAGCCAGTAGTGGGCAGCGGGTCGGGTGGTGCCGCCGACTTTGATGGCGCGACGGAACAGCCGCTCCGCATCAAGCGGGTGGCCCTGGCAGGAACAAGGGGTGAGGGGAAGCAAGAAGGGATGGGGTTTGTCAAGAGGTGGCGGTGAGGAAGTGTGGTGAGAAGGAAACGAGACAGCAGCAAAACACGCACACACACACACACACACACACACACACACACACACACACACGACACACACACACACACACACACACACACACACACACACACGCACACACACACACACACACCGCCTACATACTAGGTGCATGGCGAGTTTCCCCAGCGCAAGCAGCCCGCGCGTGTGTGTCGGGCTGTTGTTGAGGGCGGCGCGCAGACATAACAGCGCAGACGAACGCATCGATGCAGACGCATACACCCGCGCAGCCGACACGAGCAGGTCCTGCACAGCCATTAGCGGAAGGAGGAGGTGATTGTGTGTGTGTGTGTGTGATGACATGTGAGAACATATGATTGTGTCTTTGCTGCGACGTGCCAAAGTATATGCAGTTGTACACATCATGCACGCACTTCCTGTTTCACACACACACACACACACACACACACACACAGAGCAGCTGCCACCACCACCATCATCGTCCATTTAGGCGGTTACCTCGTTGTTGTTTGGAGCGAGAGCGCGCGTGCCTTTGATGTCCAGGAGAACGTGTGCATATGTGTCATTGGCGACATCTTGCAGCAGTTCCGACGGCAACACGGGCGCACGCAAGGACGACAACGACGACGACGACGATGATGATGATGATGACGATGATGATGGTGGTGGTGATGATGGTGGTGATGGCGCTGTAGCCATGTTCATGTCGGCCAGCAGCGGCTGCATCACGTGCAGATAATCGTAGCTGTCATTGGTGGAGATGGCCGTGGTGGCAGCAGGCAGTGTTTGAGCGAACGTGTGAGAACATGCGGGGAAGGGGGACACGTGGGGTGACTACAACGAGTACAGCAGCTGTTGCGTTAGACAGCCAATGACACACACACACATACACAGATACACACACACGCACACACAACAGACAGCCAGACACACACACACACACACACACACACACACACACACACACACACACACACACACACACACACACACACACACACACACACACACACACACACACACACACACACACACACACACAACAAGCCTCCAAAGCGTGTCAGGCGTGCTTACACAGCAGTGTGGACGGGCGGGCCACAGACGGCGACAGCAGAGGAGGACGAGGGAGAAACAGCATCTGAATAGGAGGGAATGGAGACACGATCATGACGGTGGTGGTGGTGGTGGTGGTGATGATGATGATGATGATGATGATGCACGGTAGCAGGGAGGTGTATTTGCTGCTGATCAAGCATCGTTTGCACTCACAGGCACACATGTACGCAGACACAGACAGACACAGACAGACAGACAGACACAGACACAGACAGACACAGACACAGACAGACACACGGGCTCACACACCACGCACACATGCACACACACGGGCACACGAGGGAGCTTACAGGTGACTGCCGGGTCTTCGTCTGTTCTGCACATGTGTTCATCGCGCAGCAGCAGCTCCAACACCACATCTTCATCGTCATCGCCACCATTTCCATCACCGCACGTGCCGTGTGTTGCCGCAACCCAAGATGCGTGCACGCGTGCATATGCGTCGGCATACAGCCCGCTGTCACCAACAGGACCATCACCACCACCAGCCTCGTTCTCTGCTTGCTCCAGCAGCCACACACCGCCATCATACAGCGTCACCTCTTGCTGCTCACGACGCACATCAACATCAGGTGCTGTTGCGTCGTCGTCACCAGCACAGCCGTCACCAATACAGCTCCCGCTGCCATCGCTCTCGTCGATGCCGTGACCCATATCATCAGCAAGCGGCGGCGGGAAATGGAGCGTGACGTCAATTGTGTCGGCATCACCACTGGTGCTCTGCTCTGTTGACGGCGTGGACGTGGACGTGGACGTGCATGTGGATGTGCATGTGGACGCGGTGTGTCCACACTCCTCCTCCGCTTCTTTGGTTTCCTTTGATGGCTTCGAGTCATTGGCGGGATGGGCGTCAAAGGCGATGGACTTTGCTCCCGTCATGTGCGTCAGCAGCGCCATGGCAGCAACATCCTGCACCTGTCAAGTCGTGGTGGTCAGGGTGATGATGGTGGTGGTGGTGGTGGTGGTGTTGTGAGTGGGGAGGAGGAAAGGGAGGCAGAGGGAGTGAGAGTGTGTGTATGTGTGCATGAGTGGACGTGTGTTGGGTGGGTGACAGCGAGGTAGAAGAAAGCAGGCGCACAGGGGATTTGGAACGGATGGGGGCAATAAAAACAATGCATGGTCGCAGCGCGCCATACGCAGCTTCTCGCCAATCGGACAAGCACAGCTTACGTCTTGATCATGGAGCATGTCCAACACGGAGTTCCAGCGCGTCGGGCTGCACCAGGCATTGTACGAGTTTGAAGGCGGCAAGCATTCGTTCATGGGCGTGAGGCATGAGTCACATTCGACTGGCTTGTGACAACACACACACACACACACACAGAGCCAGCCAGCCAGCCACACATGTGCACACACACGCAGACACACACGCAGACACACAACCAGCCAGGCACACACACACATGCACACACACACACACACACACACACACACACACACACACACACACACACACACACACACACACACACACACACACACCCTTTAACACCCCTCTTACAAGTTGGAGGGCCATTCCGAGGAGGGTTTTACGCGGCCCTTGTGGGTGACCCAGTACGTGACGGCGGCAGACGGCGCCAGCAGCGTGGATGTGACAACGACGGCAACAAGCGCGCCGACCACCAGCCACATGCGCTGGCAACCAAGCGACCACATCGTGCGCCAAAGTTTCTTCTTCCAACAACACGCGGAGAAGGGAGAGAGAACAACTGTCTGTAATGCCAGCGTTTGACCACGTGCACACTTGCAGCAGCGTTCTTTTCAAGACGGAAGCGGTATGCGTGAAAATGGCAAAGGCAGGCGTCAAGACAATGAAGCAATTCTCTCTTGTGTGTCTCGCGCGTGTCGTGTGTGTTGAATGTGTGTTGTGTTGTGTTGTCTGCAGAGTGTCTATGTCGCACGGGTGTGCACCACGCGATTCTGGTGACAGTCCTTGACGCTGGTGCGCGCACACAACTTGCCAAATCTGCTGATGACACACGGCAAATCTGCCTTCAATTTTTTGGATTCGGCAACGTCAAAATTGACTTTGTTTCGCCATGCGTGATAATTCTCGCATGATATTCGCCTATTTTCCGCGCCCGATCATCCCCTGCAAAGAACTGGGAAAGGCAAGAGCCGCAAAGCAAGAAGGTGCGTTGCTGTTTGTGGGAGCTGGTGGTGATGCGGGTGATGTGAGTGCGAGGTCAGAGTAACAACCACCATGCGTGGCGTGCTTGTGTGCTTGTGCTATGCTTGCGCGGGCAACGCGCACGGCCACACATTTCTTCGCTGAGTGGTTGCTGCGACAAGTGCGGTGCCCGTGGTGTGTGTGTGTGTTGACAACAGCAGCTGAGGAAAGAAAGAAAGCACAACGGGAGAGAGGGGCTGATACATGCAAGGGGGGCGTGGTTGGCGTGCGTGGAAACAGACTCAGGCGGTTGTGGCACCTCAAGCGCAGCCCCACAGCTCAAGGGGATGGTTGGCAGTGGTGGGGCGAGTCCCCGGCGCAGCAGGCGGCACTCCTCCCAAGGGAAACGCAGGGGAAGTGGCAGGTGGCTTCCACCAGGCGACAACAACAACGACAACAGCACAGACACACCACGAACGACACCAGCGGGCACACGGGTAACAACACACGATCCCAGTGTGCCGAGTGGTGAAAGCAGCAATGGTCAAACTGTGGTGCCAGCAGCATGGCATGCACACTCACGTACACACACGAATTGCGAGCATACACACGCTTGTACAAACACGTGCGCAAAGCAATGAGATGCTGTGTTGCTCACCTTCGCCTGTGCGGTGGTTGCTGCTGTTGGTTGTGTGTGTGTGCATGTGTGCAGATGGTGTACTGCCAATATTGCGGCCACGCGGATGCCGGCCGATACTGCGCACGCTGCGGCCGTCCACAGGCCGACAACCCGCCACGTGGAGGTGTGTGCATGTGCGTGTGTGCGTGTTTGCTTGTGAGAACGTGCGTGTGTTAATTGCTACGCATTGTATTCTCTCGAGGGTACTGTCCTTTTACTTTCCTCAATATCACCTTGCGAGCCAAGTGTGTCGCTGCACGTAAACTTCGAGTGCTCACGCAACGACTCCAAACTGTCACCACTGCCATCATCATCATACAGATGTCGACTATGAGAAGGTCGAGCGCGAGCTGCGCAAGAAGGGAGATCCAGAAGTTGGCGGCGAAGTGATTCTCTTTGAAGGTGAGTGACATGATGTGACGCAGCAGGAGTGGTGAGAGATTGTGTATTGTGGTGCAGGTGGTGTGAAGAGGGGATTGGGTTGGGGAAGGGACGTGCTGAAGCTCCTGCTCGGCAACGGCAAGTTCTTACACACACAATACACACACAATACACACACACAATACACACACAATACACACACACACACACACACACAATACAATGCAACACCCCATTGCATGTTGCAGGGACGACGTGGCCCGCGTGTCTGTTTTCGCCCGTGTGCTGCTCGTCGACATATTGGCGCATCACGAACAAGCGCATTGACTGGGAGCACGGCTGCTGCCGCAACCACTCGGACACCATCGACATGCGCCGTGTCAAGGTGGGAGCATGGAGGTGGTTGGTGGTTGGTGGTTGGTGATGGTGACGTGCGTGCGATGTGGTTGATGATGCGTGAGGTGGTGGTGGTGGTGGTGGTGGTGGTGGTGGTGCTGTGCGATGATGGGTGTGATAGATAGTTCAGCTCAACACACACACACCTTAACCCGCATTCCCCACCCAACACGACACCTTCCTCCCCCGCCCTATAAATAGGACCTGGCGCTGCGTCGCAATGTGTTCCAGCGCATTTTTGGGCGCGGCACAGTTGTGGTCTACTCGGACGGCGAGGCGAGCGCTCCCATCCTCAACATCTCAATGTTCAGGGCAGCCACCCTCTACCACCGCCTCCGCAAGGTTGTAGCTGTTGTTGTTGTTGTTGTTTAAGTTTAAGTTGTTGTTTGAGTTGTTGTTGTTGTTGTTTAAGTTGTTGTTGTTTAAGTTGTTGTTGTTTAAGTTGTTGTTGTTTAAGTTGTTGTTGTTTAAGTTGTTGTTGTTGTTGCTGCTTAAGTTGTTGTTTGAGTTGTTGTTGTTTGAGTTGTTGTTGTTGTTGAAGTTGTTGTTGCAGTTGTTGTTGCTGTTGTTTAACTTGTTGTTGTTGTTATTGTTTAAATTGTTGGTGTTGCTATGTCTCTGCGTAAAAGGAAGTGAAACCTGTGCATGAAGTGCTTGTCTCATGTCTGTGTGTGTTACTGATTGATGCCCTTGCCGAGTGCGCCCCTTCCCTCCCGCCGGTTTGGTAGGTTGTGCCCTCGATTCCTGAACATATACCGTCCTTGCACACTCCGTCTGGTCTTCCCTCCCATAACATCCCCCACTACCCCCAGCTCAGATATGACTGTGTCATGAGGATTCCGGTCGAACCAGC